ATTATATGGAAACATATTTTTTTATACGGTCCATATCGTTTTTTTTTATTTCAAAGACATAAAAAAATATAATTTATGAAAACATATTTTTTATACGAAAATTTATTTTCTAAAGAAATAAAAAAATATATATTTTACGTAAAATAAATACATAAAAATACATACAAATTATTTGTAAAAAACAATTTTTTTGGTAATATGACTAAAATACTTTTTGTTTTATTTAAAAAACAGTTATGTAAAAAAAATGTTTTTTGTAATTTATTTAGTATTTAAATATTAACGTTTTTGTTATTATATAAATTAGTTTTAGGGTGTTATAACCAAGTGAGTAATGAGTTCAATTGGTTAAGGTTTTGATCAAATAAAAGGGGTGGAGGTTGTGAGTTCGAGTCTTCATTCTTCCTTCAGCAAATTAATTTATTTTTTCAAACAAATTTCAAGAATGGTCCCTATGGTTTCTCAAATGTCACGAATTTAGTCATTCCAAACTTGAAAAGACGAAAATATCCTTACAGATTTAGTTCCTAACGGCGTTTTACTAACTGTGTTAGTAAAAAGGGCCAACTTTGCAAGTTTCGCAAACCACAAGGACCATTTGCATCAAAAAAATTAATAGGGACTGACTTTGTGATTTTTGGTAAACCATAGGGACCATTTTTGTAATTTTGTCTTAAAAAGATAAATGTATCTGATTAGTGTGTAACATGAACTTGAAAGCAACCAAAGTGATTAACCTAACGAAGTTGATATCAATGCTTATATCTACACCAAAACATGTGTAATATGGAGAAATATACTGTATAGATCCCTCGATATGTTGCCATTGCCATATACTAGAAATTGGCACTCAAAAAAAATACATATAGATACTTATTCTTTTAGATTACGAAACTATCAAAAAACATTGTTCGTGGACGATTTAAGGAAGAAAGACACAAATATAATGTATGTAGCTTTTGGATGAACAAGAACACAAATACCCTATTTTAACTATTCCGAAATGGTTGTACATTTCAGAGTACATTCCAGAATACACTTTTTAGTCTGGAAAGTACGAGAATCAGATTTCGGCCCCGAATCCCACCAACCACCACCAACTTTGGAATATCGTATTCCAGAAAACTTAGTATGAAATTCATTTTGTCAGTCTAGAATGTACAATTGTCAGATTTTGGATCCGATACCTACCAACCACCTCCAACTCCGAAATAAACGTAAATACAACGGAATACGATATTCCATAGGAAATGATCATTTTAAAAAAAAAAAAAATGATAAAGTGGTTATTAACTTATTATTGTTAATAGAGTAAATTACACGAATGATCCCTATGGTTTGGGTTAATTTGTACGTTTGATTCTTAACTTATTTTTTAGACAAAACTGTAAAATTGGTCCTTGTGGTTTCACAAAAACTGTGGATAGGGTCCAAAAAGTTTTCAACTTGCATAGAAGGTCCGAAATAAAGGATTTTCCGTGATTTTGGTCCCAAAATTAAAAATATTTTGCGGTTTTGGTCCTTGAAAAAACTAAAAGGATGATTTTGCCCTTTTAATTTATTTTTTTTCCATTTTTTATATTTACTTTAACATTGTTTTAATTTAAAAAAAAAAAGAAAAAAAAGGAAATCAGCCAACATTATCCCCTTCTCTCTCTTTGACTTCTCTCTCTCTCTCTCTCTCTCTCTCTCTCTCTCTCTGAACCAACACACCATAACACACATATACACATCTCTCGATCTCTCCGTCAAAACCCACACACATAGAGAATCGATCTCTCAAACACCCCATCTGTATGAACGACCAGTCAAATCAATCTCTAAAAACAACCCATATGTATGGATCAATTTTCAAACCATCTGTATGAACGACCATTGTGGTGTTTTGGCTCCATCAAATCGACGGTGGTGAAGGTTGTCGACCTATCAAGATGATGGTTGCGGGTACGATTTATTCAACACTTCCAGACCACCACCATCAATGAAATTAGGGCCCTTAAGAACAGGTCAGAAATTAGGGCTCATCCCAATGTCTCAAGCTTTTATTCATTTGCCTCAATATATCCATAAGAGAGTATGTTCAGTGATGATGATAGTGAAGAACGACATGTAGGAGGTAAGATGACAATGGTGAAGAAATTATAAAAAGTCACTATCTCTCAACCTTTCTATCTGTTTCTCATCGAAACTATCCCATTGTAAAAACCCGATGCAAGGCTCAAATTCCAGTTTCTGCTCCTGATTCAGGTCACTCTCATTCGAATCCTCTGATAAGCACGTTAATCGATGCAATTCTCCCGATCGCTACTATATGCCGAGAAATGACGTTAATCAGAAGACAATGAATTGGGAGATTCTTGAAAAGAAACCATGGTACATTGTAGGATTTACCGTTGACAAAAATTACATCTACATCCTTCGTATTCTTCATAGATTTCCAAATAAAAAATCATCATTATCACAAAGGGACCAATCGTGATGAAGATAAAAAAAACGAAGCGATTAACAGATCTGTGTTAGAGACTAGAAGGATGAAAATGATGTGTGTGTGTGTGTGTGTGAGAGAGAGAGAGAGAGAGAGATGGGGGGCACCAATAGGGTAAGGTGGATAGACCTAATTCTTTTCTTTTTATTTTTATTTTAATAAAGTATTTAAAATGGTATGAAAAAAAAATGCAAAAAACAAATGAAAAGGGTACAAGAGTCCTTTCAAGTTGTTAAGGGACCAATTCCGCGGAAACTTTGTGATTTTGGACTGGTGGTGCAAGTTGGAACTTTTTGGACTACATCCACACTTTTTTGATAACCACGAGGACCAAATTTGCAGTTTAGTCTATTTTTTAACTCGAAAGGTCATACTATTTGTTTTTGTTGCGTGTTTGGTCCCTATCTTACCTAAAAAAAACTATTTTGCTATTGATTTTTTTAATTTATTCAAATAAACACACTACGAACCCACTTCCACCTCACCTTACTTGCCCCACCTTATTTTAATATATTAAAAAATCAATGGCATAAATAATATTTTTAGGTAAAACATGAACCAAACGCAGAACAAAAACAAATTGTAATATTCTTTCGAATTAAAAAATAAGTTAATGACCAAACATATAAATTATCTCAAACCATAAGAACTATTCGCGTTAATATATTCGTTTATATGGAATAGATAAGTTATTTTCCCTATAAAAAAATTGATTACCCCTTTTATGAAATTATCCCTACAAACTTACCATGTGATCCTTGTTATCCATGTTTTGCTTGAGAACTCCGCCCTTGTCAAAGATTTTATGGTTCCAACAAACCCCACAACCCCTACTACTTTATGACGTATTTAATATCTCTGATTACAAAACCCATCTTTTAGATCCAATCTTTTCCCCCAATTTCCAAATCAAACTCCAACAGAATGGTGCTCTCGTTCTTGGAGACCCTAAAAACACAGCCTTTATGGTTAAATTTCGTGTTTGTGTTAGGTTTTGTATCTGTCCTCAAGACTTCTACTTCAATCCTCAGATGGGTTTATGTTAATTTCTTTAGACCTTCGAAGAATCTCAAGAAATACGGATCATGGGCACTTGTTACTGGCTCCACAGATGGCATTGGCAAAGCTTTTGCCTTCGAATTAGCTAAAAAGGGTATTAACTTGATCTTAGTGGGTCGAAACCCTAGTAAATTAGAGGGTGTTTCATCTGAGATTAAATCGAAGTTCGACAAAACCCAAATCAAAGAAGTTGTTTTCGATCTCTCTGGTGATTTATCCGAAGGAATCAAGAAGATTAACGAAGCAATCGAAGGGTTAGATGTTGGAATATTGATCAATAATGCTGGGGTTTCATACCCTTACGCTAGGTTTTTCCATGAAGTTGATGATGAATTGTTAAATAATTTGATTAAAGTCAATGTTGAAGCGACTACAAAAGTGACACAAGCTGTGTTACCTGGTATGGTGAAGAGAAAAAGGGGCGCAATTGTGAATATCGGTTCTGGTGCTGCTATTGTGATTCCATCTGATCCTCTCTATGCTGTTTATGCCGCTACTAAAGCGTAAGTATTCATTTTTTTTTTCTTCCAAGTTTTGTTTTCAATATAGGGTCTTAATTCGTGCTAATTGTCAATTGTTTAGGTATGTCGATCAGTTTTCGAGGTGTCTTTATGTCGAATACAAGAACAGTGGCATAGATGTGCAGTGTCAGGTAAATATTTATTTACACTCGTTTTGCTTCATAAAATTTGAATTCTGAGTATCTGTTACTGTATGAATAAAACGAGATGATAGATTGATAGAATACTGTTTAAACACAGGTCCCATTGTATGTGGCAACAAAGATGGCATCCATCAAGAGATCTTCGTTCTTTGTGCCATCAGCAAGTGGATATGCAAAGGCAGGGTTAAGGTGGTTAGGGCACGAGCCGCGATGCACCCCCTACTGGCCACACTCTGTCATCTGGGCTTTGCTTTACTCCTTGCCTGAGGTTGCTGTTGATACTTGGCGTTATAATTTCTGTCTCAAAATCCGTAAAAGGGGACAGCTCAAAGATTCAAGGAAGAAAGAGTGATGACGATGATGATATTTGCTCTGTTTTAGCAGTGATTGCAGTTTGGTTTGTGCAATTTAGCATTCGTAGAATGATGGTGAAACTTTGATTCAAGTTTTTGATATTTGGATAAAATTATTTTGTAACTTATATTGTACCTTTTGCCTTCTTGGTCGAATCTGGCTATTTGTTTAAGGATGATATGTTTGGTGTTTGAGATATGAACTCGATGCGTAGGGTAGTGTGGGGTATCTTGTTAGGGTTTAATCATTTAACAAACAATAAACGATTTAAAACAATTAATGATGCAAATTGAAAAAAATTCTATTACTCAATTCACCTAAACACCTCGTTATGCCACCTATAATTCTATGATTTATAGTTTTATACTTTTATAGCTTCTACAGTATACAACTGAATATTTGTAGATAATTTTTTTTTTTTTTAAAATGTCAAAGGAACTAAAATCCTGACCGTTGGATTGCTTTCGTTCTCCTAAAAACCACTTCAGTATCCAACCCGAACCCATCGACTTTCCTGGAGTAAAGAAAATCCGACCCATTAAACAACTTAATCAACGGTTCAACACTATACAAATCATTAGCAGAGTACTTATCCGACCGTCTGGATAACGCCACATGTAACACACAGATCCCACCAAGCTTCAACGTCCGTTGGATCTCCCCTACAAACTTATCCGGGTACAATGCATGGTCAAACACATTCGAAAACTCAAAGTCAAAAGTCTCGTCATCGAACGGCTGACGATGAAAGTCACCTTCGATAACAAGAGGCGGGTATGGTACCAGATCCAACCCGATAGAATCCCACACTCCGACCCGTTTCAAAGCCTCCACCTCTTGCCCGACTCTAGCTCCGACACAGAGAGCTTTAGATGAATTGGATAACAGGTTTTTGTGCTTTAGATCCGAAAAGAATTGTGTGAAAACACGAATTTTTCGGTCCCAATCTCGGGTGGTCCATATTTCTCGGAGCCTCGGGTTGGTGGTTTTCTGAAGTTGGTGGTGAATGTAGTTATCGTAGGAGGTGTATCTGGGTCGGATCTTGAGGGTGGAGCCACCGTGCATGTTGCCTCCGGAAATGGGTTTCTTGAGAAAGATGATGGATTTTAGAGAGAGCAACACGAGACAAGATAAAGAGAGGACAAGACAGAGAAAGAAACATCTGGGTATTATTGATCCTGCTTGAGATGACATACTCTCTCCTCTCTCTCTCTCTCTCTCTCTCTCTCTCTCAGACTATAACTGTGTTTTTGTGTAGATTTCTCAGCGAAAGTCTTTTTCTTTGTGTAAAGTGTTAAACTTCATTTCTTTCTCGATCTACATGTTGTGTTGTATGAATAACTGCTAGTTTATGCATGACAAGTGTGTGTTCTAGAGAGAAAGAGAGAAAAAGAGAGAGAAGGGGAGAACGTAAAGATGAGAGATCACATAACAAACGGAAAGAGATATACATATACATACTAATACACTCACATATAGTCATACACATATATAGATGCATGGAGTTGGTTTAGATCGAAATGGCACATTAATTTCTCCGAATACTCTGCAAACAGAAGCATAGTATGTCGAGCAATACAAAGTAAGCCTGCTTTAATTAATTATAATAAATTAAGAGAAAATGACAAAAAAAATTATTTCTAATGTTTTTTTATTTTTATTTTTTTTTAAGTCAAAATATAATAAAATTTCAATGAATCTCACTACGTAAGTACATATAGTTAACTTATCGTTATTCTATTTTTCATTCAACTGTATAATTTTAATACTATAATATGTTATATACTTTACAAAGTTTATCGAGACTTTTTTTTTTCTTTTTGCAAAAAGTTTTTTTCAGCATTTTTTGAAGTTTGTTTGTTTTTCAGAACATCAAAACGTTTATCATGTTAGAAAACCTCAACCAATATCTTTGTATGGAAAGGCCTTTCTTGCAACATCTTCCGCACATAATAATAATAATAATAATAATAATAATAATAATAAATATCTTATATTATAGGTCACGCCTTTTTTTTTCCCCTAAAAACACCGAACATCATCGGATATCCTCTTCATCGGGCATTTCCTTATCAGGATGCATCTCCTCTCCACTGGCAACGTTGCCTTCAGACTTCCTCAACCAACTAAATATATTGAACTTCTAAACGACATTCCACTAACAAAGTGGAGATAAATATTCAAAAAAATAAAATAAAAGGCCATCTATTATTTTTTTTCTTTTTAATTAGTCCACATGGAAAATATTAAGGGTGTGTAACAGCCCAAAAATAGTAGTAAAATTTTCATTTAAAGTTCTATCAAATCATTCATCAATTATTTCAAATCCAACACCAAATCATAATATTCAAAACATCGGAGTATAATTATTCAAATTGCAGAAATCATGTGGTGAGGATGATGTGTCATCGTGCCGGATCCTTCCCTTTCGAATCGGAAGTACAAACCATAAACATAAATTGTAAACACGAATCTTAGTGAGTTCTCCAAACTACGACACACCAAGCATACAAATATAGGCCCTTCCATAGGGTATATTTCAACCCGATAAACAAATATGGGCCTCGCCCTAGGATATATTTCAACTCGAACATGTCATAGTACCCCCCCCCCCCCCCCCCCGGGATGTATACTTCAACTCGACATATCATAGTAGGCCCCGCCCTAGGGTGTATTCCAACCCGATCATACAAACAAGTACAAATCACATAGCAGCTAGCATTTTATATAACCGAATAATGGGCTGACATTAGTGCCTTCGATCCATTAATACAGTGAGAAAACTCACCTCACAGACAGATGAGAAAGCGGAAATAGCACGGTGCTCCGAAATCAACTCTATTAGTCACCTTTACAAATACAGTGACCAAAACTCAGAATATAGATCAAAGTACCTAAAGTACCCCTAGGTCAATCCTTAGTCAAAATCCATGTCAAAGTCAACCGAGTCAACCAGGTCAAATCGGTGAGTACATTAGGCATACTCAACACGTACGCAGGGAATATTGAATGTTTGACCAAACCACGAAAGGTTGACCATGTACGCGCAACGTACCCTTTGGTACGCCCATCATACGCTTCTGCCACCGGCTCAACGCATTAAGTGCTTAATCCTTAAGCACTTTCGTCCAAAATCCAGGTCTAGACCCTAAAAGGTGTTCTTAACCATAAAGTTTCCAACTTTATGGTTTTGCATGGCTAATAAGACCTTAACATCAAAAACCCTAGCTTCTTGACCCATTAAGACAACCTATAACATGCATGCGAAGAAAATAATGTCCAAGATCATATTTTTATGACTTAGCATACCCTATAACATCTTAAAGGACAAATTAAACGTCTTGGAGTAGTCCATACTCACAAGGATCAAGATTTGGGACAGAAGGTGCCAACTTTAAGCTAAAACTAGATCTAAATGAAATACTCAACAAGGTTGGAGCTTTATACCTCTTGAAGGTACACAAGGGAGTGTAGATGTTGGATCCAAGGCATTGAGTGAAACAATACAACTTCCAAGCTCTTCCTTCAACACCATGAGTAGCAAAATGGCACCAAAAGACACTCCAAACTTCAAAATGCACTTACATACACTAGGGTTTCGAAATGAGGTCAAGAAAGAATGGAGGCTAGAGTTTAGGAGGGGTATGGGGCTGTAATGATGCTTAAATAAGGTCGAAACCCTAAAATTTAGGGTTTGCACCCTCGCCACGTACGCACAACGTGCAAGCGTGCCCAATTAATTACGAAATTGCCATTAGGGACTAGATTTGCAAATCATTCAAAAACGAAGGGTCAAATTGAAAATACCTAGAAATCAAGATGTTACAGGGTGAGCACGGATAACGGGTACCCGTTTTTGAATTGTAATCACCTATGAACCGTCGATTTTGGAACCGGAACCAAGATCACTAGTTCTGGTTCTGGTTCCTAAAAGTGGGAATCATCAAAGAGTAGTTTCAGTTTTGGTTTCCAATTTTAGGAATTGTTACCCGCTAGGTAACCGCCAAAACTTGTTCCAAAATATTAAAATTTAATAATACTTAATAATTAAACGACTGGGCTATAACAATGTTGATGACTAAGATATTTGTTGGGACTATCTAATTGGACCTTAGAGGTAACATGCTAATAAGTCAAATTTGCAACTTTTTTACAAAACAAATGGTCTAATGTAAAACTGAATGCATTAACAGGTCGATGGTAAGAATATGAACTTTGGTTCATGAATTATATTTAGCAACTTGGATTATGATTTTTAGTTGTTTGTAACTTGTTCCATAATGAACTAGTTATAATATTTACTTTTTGTTCAATGGTTAAGAATTATTTTATATTAGTGAAACTAAAAAAATGACGTATGCGGGTTACCCGGTCTCGGAACCGGAACCATCGGTTTTGGGATTAGTTCCAAAATTTTAAGAACTTCCAGACCGATTTCGGTTCCGGTTCTAACTTTACAGGAACTGTTGGTTCCGGTTCTGATAACTGCTTTACCCCTTCAAAACTCTAAAAATGATCTATTTAGCACATGTTAATTACTTAGAATGCATAAAAAACTATTAAGAGTCAAACAAGTAAAAATATGATAGTTAATTGGCTTGTTGTGACATTAACCTTTAAGGTGGTCAGAGTGGAAGTGGAATCAAGGGGCATCGGCTGAGGTTGTTCCAATGTGGAACTCTGGTACCGACAGGAACACCATAGCCACTTTCCCAGTATCGAAAAAATGGGTTCTGATGGATTCTAAAACCCAATTTGGGTTGAACGCAAATAAGGAAAGGAGAGAGGTGACTTCACGGGTTCGTAGGGAACATCATTTCGTACACCTTAGGATGAACAACAACTATTGTGTCCACCCTTATAAAAATCTAGACATGAGTTTAGAGAAAATGAAGAATATTTATAATCCCATTAAAGAAAAATAATGCATTCCTCTTACTATACCACAAAAAATGCCTAATAGAATTAAAAATCTTGTGATTTATCAACTCCTTATCTGGAAACAATAATGCATTCAAATATACCAGATTATGGTTCCAATAATAACATCGACCAATAACTTCTTTTTATTTGGAACATTCAACCAGTCAATCCAAGAATACAAGTCTCAGATTGAAATATGTTCCGCGTGTTGAATATCCAACCAACTATAAACCAAGTACCATGTTGTAGCTGCAACCTCGCATCTTAAAATAGGTGATCAAGTTGCTCCACCCTATGTACAAATCGAGTAAAGAATAGAGGACACATCTAACCCATGATATGACAAATTCAGTCTAGTAGGGATCCTATCATGTAAATGTCTCAAAATCAATATGTTCACTTTTCTAGGCAAAAAAAAAAAATCCACCTAGTATGAAAATCTGAAATCAGAAAAAGTTGCATCATTAATCCATTGACGAGTTTCACTAACCGTATACTCCCTTGTAGTACCAATGTCACACCAACATTTTTCCTCATTATCTGAGAATTGAAACCCTCTAATAGAATTCAAGCTATAAATTTCAACATCTATTCACCCACACGAATAGGACATCTCCAACTCCAATACCATTCCCTTTCCTGTCTTTGTTGGGCAATAAAACAATCCCTATTAGTTTCCAACACAAAATTCGAGGGTATCGAATCTTTAAAAGTTGATCACCTATCCAACAATATGTCTAAAACTTTGAAGTATGTCCATTTTTAATTTGTTTCTTTAAGGCACACCTATGAATAATCTCAGTCCTAAACCACACTTGCCACCTAGTCGATGTAGACCACCTTGTGTAATGCCTAATTATTGGTACACATTTAATTATAATTTATTCACTTTTATAGAGCTACTCGATAAGTTGGAAGCCCTAAACTCATCGAGTAGATGCCAGAATGGATGCGGGATTAAAGTGATCTACTTAACGAGTTGGGAGCCCTGACTCGACGAGTATGGCTGCCAGGATGAAACCCTAATTTTGAGGTTTTGCACCCTTTTTAAACCTCTTAATCCCTACCTTATGGCCTCACTTCCAGCCTCCAAGTCCCAAACCCTACTCTACAAAACCCTAGAGCTTTGTGTGAGTGTGTGA